TTTTTTTTTTACCCAGTCATTTAAAAAGAACATTTTAGAACGGCAATACCGTGATACCGTGAAACCGTGATATTTTTGCTTAAGGTTATCATACCGTCAAAATCTCATACCGGCCCATGCCTAGTGCCTATAGATATTTAACCTCTCAAATATTTAACCTCCTTTTGAATTTACTGCGTGTTTAGAAGCGGTGTTGGGGAAAGTTACTTTTAAAAGTAATGCATTACAATATTGCGTTACTTCCTAAAAAAGTAACTAATTATGTTACTTAGTTACTTTTTATGGAAAGTTATTGCATTATGTCCTGAGCTTGCATTTGACTGTTTTTATTCATTTTGAGGAATACTGAATCTGTTTTTGTGCGAGTGAGATGAGTAAATACATGTTAACATTTAGTCTAGAACTACAGTAACCATGTTCACACAGCGCACACAACGCCTCTGCACTTACACCTGATTTCTCTCAACACGAGGACAGGAGAGCTGTCAGTCAATACATGAGAAACTAAGTAACTGGCGTTAAAGTAACTTAGATATTTTCTTGTAAATTAAAAAGTAATGCATTACTTGACTAGTTACTTGAAAAAAAGTAATCTGATTATGTAACTCTTTGTTACTTGTAATGCATTACCGCCAACAAATAAGTCTGATGATTTTTCCTGAGGTGTGTGTTGGACTTCCTACTCTACTGTTTTTTTTGCACTCTCTTACTAATAACCCATTTGAATCAAACATAAGGAGCTTTATACCTCCATAGCTTCATTTATAATCATAGTTAACTATCCAGAACAGATGTTCATATCTAGACTCGGTCTACTGTATGGGTTATTGTTTTCTTATCCATCCGTTACTTCGTATTTCTTTGAAGCGGAATTATAATTTTAATGGATTTTTATGCTTGATGCACAAAGAAGTCACCTCTGGTCCACGATACCTTTGGATTTCAACACACGGAATGAGAGCTGAAGCCTATAGCCCTTTTCAAAAGCCTGCCATTCCAGAACTAAATGTACGGTACTAAAGTGGGTAGTTCCACAATTAGTTCTGGTACTATGAAAAGGTTCCTGTGGTGTGAAAGGCCCTAATAACACAAGAGTCAAATAAATTTTGTTTGTGTTCTTCCATTTAGTCCGCAGTGTTTCCCCCCTTACTTGCCACTGCAGTCTTTGCCTATAGGCTGGTGTGAATGCAGTAATGATGTGCTGAATTATGCAGCAAACCCTCTGATAGGCCCTTTTGCTTTTACTCAAAACTCCCTTTTAGGCATCTGTCCTTTACGTTTATTGAACTCACTCTTAAATATTTATCTTTTTACCTCCTTTGCTCCCATCATTTCCACCCCTTCTCTTTATTCCTACTTCACACACTCTGCTTCAATCCAAACGTCCAGATCTCTTTCATTTTTTTCACCCCCCACCCCTCCTCCCTGCCTAATGGTCTTTCCCAAACGGATCTTGCTTTCCCAAGTCTTAATCCCCCATTCTGTGTGTCTTTTTCCCAGTATCAAAAGAACCACAAAGAGAATTAATGGGGGAGAGAGAAGGAGGGAAATTAGAGAAGAAATTATGACGTCAGCGTGCCTTCTGGTTCAAAGCTATGACATTAGCAGCTCCGGCACTGAAACGTAGCCAGTATGATGTCGAGATTGATGTGCATTTGCATTTGTGGGTGTGTGAATGTGCTGCCAAGCCCTGAGTCAGTGCTTTACTTAATATGCACATTAAAGTGAGTATAGGTACGCTTGTGTTATACATCACACGGTATATCACACTATTTTCTGTTTGTGCACTCACACACAGGTTGTTTGTGTGTAAATAAGTGTGTTTAGTGGGAGGTTAATTAAAGAGAGTGTATGTGCATGTCTGCAGCGAAGGCGGAGGGATGGGTGGGTAGGTTTTAATGGCTGGCGTACAAAGTGACTTGAAAATGATTCATGGTGTTGCTGGCACTTACATGGCCTTCCATTTGTATCAGCACAAGCGCGCCGTCTCTCCCTCCCTCTCTTGTTCTTGTGTGCTCTCGCTTTTTTCGCTCATTGTGCGAGGAACACAAACAAAAGGCGCGGAGGGTGGCCTCATCCCCTTTATATTCACTTTTATTTACTCAGTCTGTTCTGGATCTACCCAGGCAGGGATGGACGCTTTACGACCAGGCAGATTTATAGCAGAGAATCTAGACTCTCTCCTGCGTTGAAAGATCTAATGCATGAATCAGTGCAGGAGGAGTAATGATTTCCCATGTTCCCTGGGGAATGGTGGGGTTCAGGGAGGTGAGACATGTTAGCATTCTTCTCCAATCCCCATGCAGGGACTAAACTACCGCTGCCGGGGTTAATGTATCTTGGTGTCTGGTGGCGTCCTAATTGATGCTGATGGACCGTATGCTGACAGCCTGCTTTTCATGTTTTCCCTCTGTTCAGTTCAGTTATGTTGTTTCTTACAGTCCTTCTTTCTTTTCTCCCTCAAGGTCTTGTTCCTGCATAAAGCGCAACCCACCCAAGTGACTCTCTGGCCGTGTCATGGCGGCGAGGCCCATCCTTTCGTTCTTACTGGCTGTGCTGGCGTGCACTGGGCCGGCCCAGCCCTCGCCCCCACTGCTGCTCCGCCCCCGGGAGAGAGAGAGGGACTCTGGAGGGGCTTCGGGCGGAGTCAACATCGCTGTAGTCCACTCCGGCTCCTCCCACCTCCCGGAAACGAGTGCCGGGGTGGGGGGCGTGGGCGTTGCCTCTTCGGCGGGCTCCGGCTCCGGTGCCGGGCCAAGCAGCAGCAGCAACTCAGGGACAGGTTTTCTGAGTCGGGCCTGGTCAGGACAGGTGGGCGAGAGCGTGATGACACCATGGGGACCCGCGAACGTGATCTGGCTGGCCGTGAACGAGAGCAGTCCTGGGAGCCTCTTGCTACAGTTGTGTGAGTTACTGGCTACCACTCCACTACAAGGCCTTGTGTTTGAGGAAGAGAAGCCGCCACCACCCAACCGGGCACCATTAGCACCTATGCTGGAATTTGTCTCGGCCCAGACAGGAGTGCCTGTGATTGCTGTTGGAGGAGGGGCTGGCTTGGGGAGGGAGCCACAGGTAAGAGTTAAGATTCATTCATGTTGCGTAAGATTTAATGGTTCTTCATGAATTTGAGAGATTAGATGCAATTTCCTCAAACAAGTTAAACGGTTTCTCTAACCAGAAATAATTCTCTAATTATTTACTCATCCAGATGTATAGGATTTTCTTACTTCTGTGGAACTCAAATGGAGATTTTAGGGAATATAATCCATCTTTGTGAGTCTACGAGTCCATCTTTTTTTGGTCCCTCAAAGCTGATCCTTAAAAAAACACACAATACAAACACAGCGGTACTCCATACGACCCCAGTTGGTGAACCAATGTCTTCTGAAGTGGAAAGGAGGGGCTGGCTTGGGGAGGGAGCCACAGGTAAGAGTTAAGATTCATTCATGTTGCGTAAGATTTAATGGTTCTTCATGAATTTGAGAGATTAGATGCAATTTCCTCAAACAAGTTAAACGGTTTCTCTAACCAGAAATAATTCTCTAATTATTTACTCATCCAGATGTATAGGATTTTCTTACTTCTGTGGAACTCAAATGGAGATTTTAGGGAATATAATCCATCTTTGTGAGTCTACGAGTCCATCTTTTTTTGGTCCCTCAAAGCTAATCCTTAAAAAAACACACAATACAAACACAGCGGTACTCCATACGACCCCAGTTGGTGAACCAATGTCTTCTGAAGTGGAACGATAGGTGTGTGTGAGGGAAAAATACTAATATTTTAAACTTTTTAAACAATGAACCATTGCTTCCAGCCAACTGTCAGCACTCTGTGAAGTGTGATGTAAGTGCGTTGTGAAATTCATGCAACAAGTTTGTGAAACTCTGTGCCTCTGCATCATTTCATGTGTAAGTTTCACAGCGAAGTTTTGGGTGAAGTATCCTTTAAACCGCAGCCGATTTCATTGGTCAATTCAGTCATGCAGTCACCTGTCAAGAAAAGACTTCATAGACTTGATTGCAAACAAACGGTAATTCTGTCTATTAGGATGTGCTATATTTAAGGTTAAGGTGTAGGTTAGGTTTAGGGGTTAGTATTTGTTTCAGTGTTATGTAGGTAATCAATGCTGGGACTGACATGACCAGTGAATTCTTTAAAATTGGCTGCAGGACGGGGTTCACGCTAGGCTTGCTGCGATAGTCGGTGTTGACGGTGTTACCCTTGTTAAGCTGTAACACCGGTTACGTCACTTGCCCACCACGGCACCGCCCGCCACCGTCGTTTTGATTTTTATAGTAGTAAAAATCATTTAGTTCAGTTAGAGAACAGACAATATAGTTAAACTGAACGTGGATGCTCAATGCAGCGTGCCGAACCAGAGTTGCATCACAGATCAGCAGCTGGAGACAAATTTAATTTATCACGTGAGGAGAGTGAGTTGAGCTGACTGACAAGAAGAGTGAGGTGAGACAGACAAGATGATGATGGAAGATTTAGTTTCAAAACGAAATGCAAAAGCGTTTGGCAATATTTTGGATTTTGAAAAGCCTGTTGACTTTTGGCGTTTATCTAAGGTCATTTTGGAATTTTATCTTATTTATTTGGTTCCACTGGTTGCTGATTTTTACTTTATTTAAACTTTGTGTTATTTATTTATTTTATTTTACATCACAGTGTATGCCATGCCTCCAACTTTCTTATTCGTTTTGCTAATAAAAGTTCTATATTTCTTATTTATTTGGTGTGTTTTTACTTGTTTTGTTAATAAAAGTTTTATGTTTAATGTAAGTGAGTTTGTCTTTGTACTGTTTTGTTGTTGTCCATTCAAGCAATTTGCGTGGAATTGTTGCTAATTTGAAAGTGAAAGTAAAATTTTACTTAGACTCCGATGAACACAACCCCACCCCATTTCACCTATTCAAGTACACATACAGAGCAGAGGGTAGTGAAAACACACACGCACACCGTGAACACACACCCGGAGCACTGGGCAGCCTTTTTTCTTTTCTTTTTTTGCGGCGCCCAGGGAGCAGTTGGGGGTTTTGTGCCTTGCTCAAGGGTCTCACCTCAGTCATGGTATTGAGGGTGGAAGAGACCCCCACCTACAATCCCTGCCGGTACCAAGACTCGAACCCGCAACCTTTGTTTTACAAGTCCGACTCTCTAAACATTACGCCACGACTGCCCCCATCTACCAGCTGGTGCCAGACAAACCCCTTGATGCAGTCTAATTGAAAATAAACTAAAGCTCATTACCATTTTCTTTAGACCTAATTTTTTTACACTTTCCCCCAGAGATGTAATAGTATTTGGTCATTTTTCAGCCATGACCTCAGTTGTCCTCTCTATGCACACTGCTCTCAGCAGCCTGGAAAAGCACTGAGCTGTCTCCCAGATATGCCTCTTCTAATTTTAGTGAAACTGGCTAATTATTCAAAGTATTAAGCATTAGTCAACAATAAAGGTCACCCAGGGTTTTTTTTAAATGGTGAATGGGCAGTAAACAGAACAAAATGTTGTGTAAGAGGCCTGTGTACAACAGTAAAATGTTTTACCAATGTTATGGTAGGTCATTTTTTATTTACAGCATCTATACACACTGGAATTTATGTACGTTTTGGCTTAGAGGAAAAAAAAGGGCAGAGCTTTGCGAAAGTGATGTTCCATCATTCGACCATGTCTTGAGAAAATTTTACCTTTTGCCCTCCAAAGTTGTATCCACCCTCCAAAAACATTTCAGAATGGCAGATGCAGAGAGGATTTCTGATTTGGCTGAAAAGGTGTTGGCCACTCCCAGATTGTTTATAGAGCCTTGGGGTGTCAGGTAGGATATTTCAGGACACATTTTAGTGATTGTCAGGATTTGATTTGATGCATTCCAAAGAAAACTGCTTAAAGCACCTTTAATCTAAATGTAAACTAGTATGTACAGTATTAATATGACATTGTATTTTCATAGTAAGGTGCCATCAGTAACTGAAAATCATGTGAAGATGGTTTTGTTCGCACTATGCGATTACAGTGCGCAGGTGTTATTCGTACACAAACACATCCGGTACATCTATTATGTGCAGAAATGACTCAGTCAGAGGCCTTTTGAAGGTCTCTTTTGTCACTTAAGCCTAATGCTGTCAACACATGCCCTGGATTTACAATATTTATAATCTCAGTCTGTTTCGCAATTTTTTTCCATCCTTTGAACAAATACCGCCAGGGCTTGTTTGGAAAAATCTCTACTTAAGTTATTCATTCCGCAGCAACCAGGATCTGCCACTCAAATGTGACGGTGGACAAAAAAATTCACTGTGTCGTACTACTTAATAAGATTTCAGCATAATTAAGATGACCAATTAAACTCGAATAAGTTTCAGGCTACCTATGATGTTTTATTCACACTCGGGAGACAGCCTCTCCGCCACCGCATTTCTCTCCTGTGGAAAAATATTACATTACATTTTGATTTGCTTGCTTAGACTTTAATTAACTACAATTAGAAAGGATCATGTGTTGTGGATTGGTAAGAGCATGGGTTTGGAGCCATGGAGTCAACTCCCTCTCGCAGGGCATGTCTCCAGAGACTTCTTTTACCTCTTCACAAACCGCCAACCAGAGCACGGCACAAAGGAGTCACTTAACTGGTTTAATTAGGACAGTAATTAATTAGATGATGTGGTTAAATATTTCGATGTGAGAAGAAAGTAGATGTTTCAGACACTATTTTGGCACTCGTCACAGCTGCAAAATGTAATGCTGCAAATCCAGTTTCAAGTGCTCAATGTAGATTGATTTCAGCCAAACCAAAGCTGTGGCATCAGAAGAGACAGAAGTCTGTTAGTACTGGGAAAAACAAAAATACCTCAGGCACTCGCTCTCCCCCCCAAAAAGAATGAAAAATAAATGTAGAATTGCATATTGCTTCTGTTTTAAAGGCACAATATGTAAGATTTTTTAATTAAAATATCCAAAAACCACTAGAACAGTGTTACATATTTTGCTGACTTGTGTACTTACATTATCCCAAAAGTTTCGAAGAATGTTTAAATCCAGAGAAATAAGCTATTTTAACTAGTGACACGGAGCGTGTCCATAGTGTCATTGTGTCGCCTGCCAATGACGTCATTCCCCCTCGATTTCCCGTTTTGTTTTGTAGAAAACATGGAAACACCAAAGACGCTTTAATATGTTGTGCGTTTTATTAGACCGGTGACGACCGCACAGAGTAGCATTATAACGGAACTTTCAAATGTATCTAGTATGATAAAACAGCGCTGCTTTTTTTCCCCATATACGCACGACCGGAAGGAGCGGAAGCAGTCGACTGTGACGTAATAAAAGCTCCGCTGCTTTCGAGCCGTGTGTCACGCTCGTTCAGCGGCCTCGTTTCGCTTCGACAGCTTTCGGCCTCACCCTGCTTCATTCTACTACATTAACAAATCATCCATGAACATGATTTCTGCCCGAGTCCCGTTGGATTGCATCGGCTGTGGGGATGAAGATGACAACTCCCACGATTCCACACTCAGTCACGGCGTCATCAAACTACGCCTTTGTCTATTTGTTTATTTTGAATACGCGCCCTTTAGCGGCGAAAATTACATATTGTGCCTTTAAGCAGATTTTTGGTGTTCATCGGAGTGTAAGTTTAAACCTAGCCTTCCAGGGTCCATTTTATTCTCTAAAAGCTTTTGAATAAAGTAAAATAACTTGGTCCATCTGGACCTCAGTGTGGCACATAATGCAGTACGGACAATTATTGCTCTCTCAGGGGCACAAACTAGCACATGAACAACTTCTGGTTCAAGTACAGTGTGCGCATATGAAACCAGCAGGATTCAGACGCTACCCAATTATAATGCAGAGCTATGCAATGCTATAAATATGCGGCCTCGTTTCGCTTCGACAGCTTTCGGCCTCACCCTGCTTCATTCTACTACATTAACAAATCATCCATGAACATGATTTCTGCCCGAGTCCCGTTGGATTGCATCGGCTGTGGGGATGAAGATGACAACTCCCACGATTCCACACTCAGTCACGGCGTCATCAAACTACGCCTTTGTCTATTTGTT